TTACACACTTTTATACATTATTTACACTATATACAGATGCTACTTGTTTGGTTGGAGTTGTCAAACACTGGTATTCCTCATCTTACAAACATACACCACGTGCAAACATGTTAAATTACAGAAAACAAACAGATCCTGCAAAAACCGGTTTGTTGAGACTATGAAGCCAAAACCCATTAAAATCTTGTGAACATTTTGATGTGATGATCAAGGTTTTCATGCAGTTAACAGGTTTTTCATGGTGTTAAACTGCCCATGAAATGTAATTTTTACCCACTTTTTTATTCTAAAATACTGAAGACTATGATCCTCTGGTTCGTAAGTATCGAGTTTGGGCTTCTGACAAGCGTGCAATAGTTTTTTCCTGCTTCGAAGTTGGCAATTGCGAGTCAAGAATGCATGACATTCTGTGCGTGCGTTCAAAATAATATTATGCAAATTAGGACCACTGATGTCCTAAGTTGTGTAAAACCTTCTAGCTGGGATATGATTGTACATATATGTACATATGTACATATGTTTCCAAAAGGCAAAGTCAGAAGAGCACAATGTTGGCGATTATAATATGTTCGCAGACACTGGCCCAATTGCAAAGTCACAAATGCATCCGTGTTATGTTCCCTCCACTTTTAACAAAGTTGCTATCGGTGGCTTTTAAACATAATTTAGAGATCTGCTGCAAAGGAGATGTCTGAATTATGATTTAGTTGTCTTACTCTTGAGCTTCACATGAACAAGAACAAACTGAAACGGAGCAAAGATTGAATTGAAATAATATTGGCCTCACATCATTGTGATTTGCATGATTTTGCAGGCAGGCATGATTTCTTTCAGTCTTGCAATATAAAGTTAGTTTCATTTTTCTTTGACTCGTTTGTAGTACCTTATTGTAAAGTAATTTGTTGTGCATGAATTGAAATAAATAAGTTTATTAAAATAATAATAATAATAATAAGGACATGTTAGCACAATAATCCTAATGCAAGAATGTGATAGCAAATATAGGGAAATTTTTTCAACAAATGCGTTTATAATAACCTATTGAGCTACATGTACATGAACATCAAGTGATTCATGATTGAAGTAAACAAGCAGGGAGCATCTCGAAAACTCAGTGCTTGAAAACTCAGACCTCAGTCCCTAAAAACTCAGGCCTGAAAACTCAGACCCTCTGGTTTTGTCAAAAACTCAGAGCCGAAAATATGACAATTTGGTGTTTGCTGTGGAGTGCTTCAAGACCTCTTGTTTACAATGTCATTGGCAGAATTTGCTGAGGGAGGGAGAAAGTTTCACAATACAAATCTAGAGTCAGAACCAGATAATGTGGAAATAGGACATTTTATCGACAAACAATAAACAAGATGGTTGAAGCAATCTGCGGCAAACACAGAATTGTTTTGCTTTTCAGGTCTGAGTTTTCGAGACACCCATAGAGCGAGTGAGTAATTATCATTAGTCAATGTGTGAACGAGAGTATCTTCTACCGGAGTATCTTCAATGCAAGCTGCTACAACACAATAAGAACTGGCAATGGATTGAATAAAATAATTTAATATATTCTCCTCCTCCAAGAAAAAAAGTGTAATACTGTTTGAAGCAACTAGAACATGC